AAACATTTATAACCGAGATAGAGGTCAATCAAAAAGGCCAAAATGTTCAAACCCAACACCAAAAAATCTAGATTCTACTCTCCATAACTTACCAGTACTATTATTGAAACTAATACTTCCAAAATATTTTCATGAATGTAGTCATAAATCTTCTAAAAAAAAGTAACTACGAATGTCAACTTCAATACTTATTAGATAAAATTAAAAGTTCTATAAGATTAAATTTGAATCACGTGATTTAATCGGGAGGCAAAAGAGTCAAAAATCCTACCCAGCATTAGATACGAGTCTAGTTTTGGTAGGCACAATAATGGGTTTAGATCGGCAAAATTCAAGACTTTGGCCAATTATAAAGAAAGAAAGGGTAAAAGAGGCATAAGATGTGGGGTTTTCATGAATTTTACAGTACATAATAGAAAGAAAATGTGTCATTTTCCATCACAATAATTGGAGTTTGTTTTAATGTTTGATATGTCTTAAAAAAATAAAAAATATATATATAAAAAATAATGTTTGATCAAATGGATATCATTTTCACAATTTTTCTTGGAGTAGATGAGAGGTCAAATCTTCTTTGGTCATACTCCTAATAATTAGAGCAATTAAATAAAAATTAAATGTGGTTTGATTTAGTTGGTTTAAACTACACCCTTTTATTATTTATTCTAGTTCAATTTTAAATTAAAAGAATTCACACTTGTCTCTGAATTATGTACTTATATTCCTGTACATTTAAACTTTTGTAAAGTTTAAATAATATATGAAAGTTGAAGGCATAATAGAATCTAAAACTCTTCATCAATATATTATATTCTTGGATTTTATCAGGGTAATAAATTTTAATCAATAGGTAGACATTTCTATGTATTTATAGATTCAACATCAACAATTTTGGCCAAACCGAACATAGCTCAAGTGGTTAAGACACTTATCTTTGATCAAAAGATCATGAGTTTTCGTAGTATCACAAAAATTAAAAATCGAATTTTTAAAAAAATAAATGTCAACAAAATATCAATAACATGGACATATTAATATTAATATTGATAATTTTACCTCGTTTAGAAAAGGTAAAATATTTATTTGTTAATTTAAATATTTATTATGAATTTTTATTTTTATAGTTCTTTTGAAATAGTTATCGATACAGATATATTAACTAATATTTTTATCGATATTTTTATTTCTATCGATACCGATCTACCTGAGATGAGTTTAATATAATATGAAACATGGTTTGTAGAGTAGGGGAAAATGAAAGTGATTGGTTTTTGGGTTTTGGAATTTGGTTTTTGGCATTGATCAAATTGTCCAAGTAAAGACAGAACAAGAAAAGGACTGAAAAATTACCCTAAAATCCAACCAAACTCATGGGGATTCCAAACTAATCCAACAATCATAGATTTTTTTCTCTAAAGAAAAACTAGTGGAAGAAAAAAGGAAATTAGGGTTTTGAAAGATGAGATCCCTATCAAAAGGCCTATTTTGATGACCTACCTAGGGAAACCTACTTAATTATCCATGGTAATTAAAAAGCTTAATCAAATTAAAATATATATAAATGAGATTATTGATGATTTCAAAAGGTACTTGCAATTATTAATAAATGTTGTTTCATGATAATTGGTCTTACCAATGAGATCATCTGGGTTTTGAATTTCAACTTAAATAAATATCTTCCCCAAATTATTTGTGGTTGTAAATATGGGACATTGAAAATATTGTAAGGACCGTCCAATTTTTAAGAGTTTATATGTAACTTATTAATGATGTAATTCGCTTATATAAGTTATAAATAAGTCAACTCCCTTTACTTTTTATTTTCGGTATGGTATCATATTTTTTGACAGCGATATAGTTTCACATCATTCATTATATAATATAGACAACCATATATAAAGCTATTGTGACTTATAATATCAGAATAACACGGTTGGTTAATAACAAAGTCTATATGAAAAATTCATCGTCCATAAAAATTATTCACATTACGCATGCTTTTGAAAGTTACAATTTTCCCATTGTTTCTTAAATTAAGGTTATGTTAGTTATGGTAATTTTTTAAAATAAATTTATTATTATATAATTATTCACTTTGTATTATTTTTGTTAAAACTAATTAGAAAAAAAGAATTGTGTTGATATCTTGGATGACAATCGAAAAGAAAATGATCAATTGTTTAATTAAACTTAATTTTCAAACATAGAAACTGAAATAACATAATAAATTAATTAGTGACGTGTATAAAAATAAACGAGACTAATATGAAATTATTGTAATACCGTGTTTCATACCACAAAATTCTAGCGTCAGAGTCATGAAAAATTTAGGTAGAGCCGTAAATTATACTCTTTTATTGAAAAAAATGTTATACAGTAAAAAAGATATGATTTTTTTTTTTTTTGTTCATCTATTTAGAAGAAAAGTTGGTGTGACAACAATGTAACATTTTCTTTGAATTATTTACAAATTAAAAAAAGAAAAAGAGAATAGGAGATGGTGATTGATGAAGACATAAAGGCTTTAGAATAAGAGGGGAAAATAATAGTATTAAATCATTGTTTTAAATGTAAATTTAGACAATTAAGGGTAAAGAAAATTAGTGGTTTCATTTTGAATTGTTTTATTCTCTTCCTCCAACATATAAGATACCTGTTTTGGGATACTATTTAAGGGTTGAAAGTAAATTTACAAAATATTATAGTTACCAAAATTGTATTTATTTATGTAATTTTTTAAAATAAATGTATCGAAAACAAAAAATAAATAAATAATCTCAACCGACCAACTATGCAGTTCATTAGACACGTAATTTAAAATTTTAGTAACCGATTAAACACAATTATGAAAATTAACCCATTTCTAACAAAACAATATTATTTTTAATTATTTCAAACTAGAAAGTTTTTTTTCTTTAACGATAATATAAAAATACAGTGCAAGATTATCGTATTAAAAAAAAATATGCAAAAACAAATTTATTACCTTCAATTTTAATTGTCAATAATGGCAATATTACAAAATTTCCTTTTTAATGATAATAAGTTTGAAGAGGTAATCGTGGGCCATTCACAGAGTCCATCCACAATTTGGGACCCATTAAGATGCCAAATATATCACTTAAAATCACATATGTCATAGTGTGAATAAAAATATATTTTATTTTATTTTATATTAATTGAACCACCAATATTTTATTTTAAATGTTAAATAAATTATTATCATGAGCATCCCTCGACTCGGTAAATCATATATTTTAGATATAAATTCTCACTATACTTGTTATTGAATTAAAATAATAGTAATAAAAAATAAATTAAATATAATCTATCACAAATCATTTCTATGTAGCAGTTAATATGTGGCTGTCAAAGCTACTTCCAAGATATTATCTCTCTATTAAAGTAATTAATAAATAATTTAACATATTTATCTAAATTACTCAAATGGTAGTTAATATTCGATTAATTAAGATCAAAGTAATTTGATAGGTTTCTCTATTTTAATCAACATATATTACTTATATAAGTCCATAAAATTAAGAACAGCATTTTTTTTTTTTTACTTAGAATTGTTCCTTCCATTTTCAAATTTAGGCCATATTGGTCCACTCAATTGAGAAAAGAGAAAATTGAACAATTTTTTTTCAAAAAATTGTAATGGGGACCTTTTATTATTACTGGATTTCAAGAATGACTTTTTTACCATGATTTAAAATTATGGACAATTATACTTGATAATTTAACCAATTTGTAATCTTTTTTTTTATTATTATTATTTTACCCTTTGAGGTCATTTCTGAAACCAGCCTATAATTCTAGACTATGAATAACGTCAAAATTAGGAGTTTGAAGCAAGTAAATTTGAACTGATTTGTACTGAAATAAATACAAAGTTAATATGTTAGTTTAAGCAAAACAAAAAAGAAATCTTAAAAATCGATGAAATTGATCGAGATCAACTAAAACATTAAAAATAATCTAACGAACCCAAAAACTATTCAATATAAACGTTCCATAAAAATCAAATTAAAAGTTGGGAGTAGAGATCAAAGAGATGAATCCAGTTTATAGGAACAAAAACAAAAGAAAGTGTGTATTTGGCACTAAATCAAATCAAGGTTGATGGTTGAGCAGCAAACCAAATGCTATGATTCTTGGCCATCTTCTTCTGTTTCTTCTGCAATATTGGTTTTCCAAACAAAAACATGATTTGACTTGAGGATTTAATGATGTGTTTATTCACAAATTTAATGAATCATTTGGTCTTGTCCACAGATCTATAGAAAACTTGTCTTTTCAATTTTCTTCTGTTTTTAGTTCAACCAAAGATGCATCAAATGAAGAAGGAATACATGAAAACTAGTCAAATCTGCAAGCAGGATCGCATGTTGTCAAAATTATGATTTGTTTTGTCTATCGACAACTTACGATTTGAGTTATATTCATAACCCTTTTTGCATTGCAAGCATGTGTAGGATAATATGATTATCAGTCATCGATAAAGTTTAAGTATCGAAGTTTCGAAGGAGGWATCGAAATATCAAAGTATCGAACCATGTTCAACTCTACAAGCATGGTTGAATGTGATACCACATCGAAAAAAATAAACATTTATAGATAGAAATTATTTATAAGTTCATCAATTATATAAAGTAGTAAAATGATCATGGTTTTAGGCAAGTTCCACGTCCCCAAGATGCTTCATATCAACCCCAAAATTCAATTCATTCAAAGCTAAAATACATGGTATAACATAATGCTATCCCGAAAATTACATACATAGTTCCTAGACCATGATTGTTCATAGAACATTTATCTGATAGTCATTAAAATGTTACAGATAATAAAAAGAAATCAAGCAAAAAAACTCGAGTTCAACTCGACGTTTCAGATGACATTCAGGAAATCTCAGAGGCAAAGATAGGAGAAAAAACTGAAGCTAGTGTTTTGATCTCTTTTCCTAGCTACTAAATAACAGATCCAGAAGCTTTGATAAAGTTAAATAATCTAAAGAAATGAAAAAACAGCAGCAGGCAACACAGATCAGCCTATCTTTCTCAAGGCACATTCATAACCTGGATAGACTGCAACATGTCTGAGACAGCAATTACAAGATCACCTGATTTGATCAAGTTTCTGGCTTTAAGCAGCAAAAATGTTTTGTTGAGGTTGTTTTCCATGTCCTCAGAGAAGCTCAGGCGGAAGGGAATCAAGCCCCATTGCAAGTTAAGACGTCGCCTCACGGATGTTGTGGAGGTAAATGCAAAGATCGGGCAATCGGGTCGGCAGCGGGACAGGAGAGATGCCATGTGGCCTTTCCTTGTGTAGACGAAAATTGCATCCACCTCCAAATTATTGGCTACGGAAACAAAGCTCAAAATTAGTTGCAATAAGCAACAACAAGAGGAAACTACTATAAAGAAGACCGCAGCATATCGAGAGACCCAACTCCACTAACTATCTTCCATGCTGCATCTTTACAAAGCAATAACCATTTTTGTGAAATGATATGAGATACTGGTTGTGTTCTTCATGGTACTAAAGCATATAGCTGGACAAATAATTGAATGAGGTTGCTATAGCTACCCTCTAAATAACTAGTGGATGCAGATGCAAAATTTATATGCCCCTAATAACCATGAGATACAGATCAAAATACATGGTGTAATTTCTTTCATGCATCCAACAGTGTAAAACTATCAATTCCAGCCTTCTCCACGAATTTCTCCTATAGCTAGTGAGAATATAGCTTTGTAACCACTTTAGATATCCAGGGATATGATAAAGCTTACCCATTTTGGCAGCTGAATTGCAGATCTCTTCTGAGATACTATCTGAGAATGAAGATCCAACTTCTGGGAGTTCCATAGGTTCATGGTGTTTCTCTTCCCTCCACCACCTCTCAATCCTTAGACTGACACTTCTCAAAACAGCTAATGCCTTGTCTGGGAACTGGCCCATGGCGGACTCACCAGAGAGCATCAGGGCATCTGATCGCTGCCTGACAGCCTCGGAAACATCGGCAACTTCAGCTCTGGTGGGTGTTGGATATTCGATCATCGACTCAAGCAGCTGAGAAGCAACAATAACTGGCTTATTTAACTGCCTGCATAGTTGGACGATCTTTTGCTGGACTGATGGCACCTGTTCCAGTGGAATCTGAGCTCCTAGATCTCCTCTAGCTACCATAGCCCCATCCGATGCTCGAATAATTTCTTCCAAGTTCTTCAATGAGTCCATACTCTCTATCTTCGCAATGATGGAAATGTCACTGCATACCATGGAAAACAAAAAGAGACATAAATATAAAGGTGTACATATAACAGAATTTAAGATAAAGTTCGAAGCATTAGAGAGGGAGAGAGATAATTTGTTCGTCAACCACCCTGTCCAAATTGAAAACTGATTTTAAAAATTTATTAAAAGTCAACAACAACCAAGAAACTCAAAAGAAATACATCTAACTTGGGAATCAGAGGATACTAATACATACTTGAGATGTATTTGATCTCCCAACAAACGTGAAAACCAACAATGAGAGGTTCATAGCTTCAGACCCAAATAGAATCAAAGAAGAACAGATCAGCACATTACTAAATTTCTTCATACCTGCCACGGGAACGTGCAGCAATATAGCTTTTGAGGTGTTTAATCACTTCAGCGGACTTGACAAATGAAATGGCAAGAAAATCAACGCCTTCTGCAATCCCAAAATCAATATCCAACCAATCCTGAATTCATAAATTATGCACATTAGACTAGAAATTAAGTCACTGTATCAGGGTAAATTGCATCGCTAAGTTGCACGAAAGATTTAACTTCAAACATCATGAGACTAGGATCCAGAAACAGATGCAATAATGAGGTTACATGAAAGGTTTTCAGTATGATATAACTACTACTCTCCCATCAAACATTTCCTTCTAGAATTCATGGTGCAAATTATAATACTCTCGACATGATCTTTCAACATAAAATTAGTTACTCAGCCAAGTGTAAATAGAAAACACTCGAGTTTCTGGCAATGCCAAAATTAAAAGTTTAATATCTAAGCCAATTAAAACAATAGTGTTTCATTATGATTGGACAGTAACGATCTTTTCATTTCTAACATAATAAAAAATAAGTTAACATTTTCTAAAACAGTAATCTAAAATTAGCGATGCACGGGTTGAAGAAAATATGCAAGACTAGATGATTCAAGTTCTTGTAGTCTGTAACTCTCTGGTGTTGGTTATGCACAACGGCAATTAGTAAGCCAGTGAGCTAAAACAAATTGTTTAGGTTGACCTAAGGAAATGACAGTTCAAGGAGCAAGGAGGCACCTACCTTAGAAGAAATTGTAGGGAGCATGGCATTACGTTCTCGTACCAGATGTCCATCCCTCCAAAAAGTCAAATTAGCCCGTGGCAACAACAATCCCGGGTCAGTACACAGGCACTTAACATCCGGCCCAATCTTTTCGATTACCTCAAATCTCACCATTCCACCGTCAACAAGGAGGTCATCACCCACTCTCACATCTACACAATATCAGTTATAATTCAAGATTAACAACAATTTCATAGAATTTACTACAATTATGAACGCAGATCCGACCACATATGCCAATTCCCAGAACCATATCTTAGATTCTGCACGAATACAGTAAATGCCAGAGAAAACTTTTAATTTAGGATAGAATTAGTAACCTTCTGCAAACCCCTCATAGTTCACATTAATAGTGCGTTCTGGGACTGGCAGTGTTGAATCGAAAGCTCTGACGCTGAATGTCCAGATTTCACCATCCTACATAGAACAGAGCAAGCAGTTATACACGTCCCAACGGCTTCAGTCGGCCTACTTAAACTGAAGTCAGATGTAAGATAGCAGAAATGTGAGACCATCATTAAGAGGATTTATTGCTGCAATAAACTACTTATTGCTGAATGTCCAGATTTCACCATTCTCTCTCATCTTGCTTTTAAAACAACGTAAAAGGACCCATCTTGCTTTTAAAACAACATAAAATTTAAATGGGTAATACAAATGCCTCCGTCCGAGGTGAAGCCCGATCCAGTTTAAGAATGATAAAAATATTAAATTGGGCGAATTTTTGAGTTTCAGGCAGAAGAAAGTTGAAAATCACATTCATCTTATTCAGCTCGCCTGTTGGTAAGCCAGATAAAACCCAGTACTCAAAAAGTTCTAAAAAGACAATTCAGATATAAAATATTAAAATTAGGACACAGACCAGCAAAAGTTTCACCAATTGTCCTCTACAGAAAGATGGAAAACGATGAAAGAACAAAACTCACTTCCGCTTTAGCTGAAGAAGCTCCTCCAAGGTCACCCATGTGAATTTCACTCCCTTCAGTATCCATCATGATGGCCACTGCATAGCCCTTCTCCTCATTGAGCCTCCGCACGCGTTCAATCACATCCCGATGCCACTCCCGAGTTCCATGGCACATATTGATTCTCGCCACATTCATACCGCCAACAGCGAGCGCTTCCAGCTGCTCGAATCCGCAAGTAGCAGGGCCAATAGTACACACAAGCTTCGTCCTCCTCGTACTCCTGAAGCCATTCTCCTTCAACTCAGCCTCCGTCACAGCGTCGACCTCAATAGAGCTCGCATCAGACACAACCGGCGCATACCCACCTCCGCCGCTCGAGCCATTTTCGGAAACCAAGACTTGGGAAGTGGAGGACGCCGGTAGAGGATTGAGATCCGGAGAGGAAGAGGCTCGAATTGACGATTTGGTGAGAGTGAAGGGGAAGCGGAAAGCGGCGGTGGAAGGGGCGGATTTTGGAAGCGAATTTTTGGTCAGGGAGAGGGTGGGAGAGCGGGTGGTGGTGGTGAAGAGTTGCAGAGACTGCGCCATTGCGAATTGAAGAGAGAAATGGGAATTGAAGGGGAGAATTATAGCAGAGAGAGGACGGAGATGACGAAGACGGTGGAAATTTTTGGCGATGGAAGCTTTGGAATTGCCGCCGGGAGATCGACGGCGGAGAACGGCTTAGAGATGGGACTCAAAAAGGATCGGATCGGATGGGATGAGGTTTATTGCGGGTTTTATAGTGTGACGTGGACGGTGACGATTGGCTTCAATAATTTGTTATTTTACGCACGATAAAAATATGTTGACAGTTTTTTTTTTTTTAGAATAAATTGAACGAAATTTTCAAATTTTATCCCACGTGAGTCAATTTTAACTCATTCTTCCAATGGTATTATATGATTATTTTTATTAGAGTAATTTTTATTTACTTTATTTTGTGGCCAGGTTATTGTAACATGATTTGGATTTATATGTTTTGGTTGAATTTTATTTAATTTATTGATTGGTTATAGAGCAATTTTGAGGTATGATTTTGAAAAAGATATTATCTACCCACAACTTTAGTGTGTAAATAACATTTCGTGGAAGAGATCTATTAATAAAGTCGAGTTTGTTCTTCATGGACAATCCAATGATCTTAGAGCGACTCCAAAACATGTAATTATCCTATGTAATAAGCTCAATAACTAAGGTATCATTGTGGTGTAGAAAATAGGGATTGGTGTAAGGCTCTGTAACAATCGAAGTAATTGAAAGAGATGCAGCCGAAGCGATCAAAATATTCAGAATTGGAGCAATTGAAATAGTTGGAATTGGAGCGATTGAAATAGTCGGAACTAAAGCATCTGAACTAATATAAACGACGAGGAAGAAAACTAAAAAGCGACTGATACCATATTAAACGCAGAAGAAATAAAATATTGGTAAAAATAAAATTTGTATTACCTTAACTCAAAACTATACACCTATTTGTTTTCTTCGTTTTTTTAACAATAAACTGTTAATTTTTTAGTAGTCGTAAACAACGGTTGATCAATATACACTTTTATCTTTTTAAATATTAAAAAAGACGTTTATGTCACAAATAACAATATTAATGGATTTATTACGAAAGGTTCGAATAAACTAAAAAGACATAAAAGTTTATCATTTTATACATGTAGATGTTCATCGTATATAATAAACTTTTAATCGTTACATATTAAAACCATTAAAAAGATACATCACGGTCTCGGGTTTCTACTTTGATATGCTTAAATGTTTTCTATATATCAACGATAATCCAAAAAAGAATGTGCAAAGTGAAATGAAAGACCTTTATGGAAAGTTTTTTTCAAATGAATACAACATTTGATTTAAAGAAAAACTATTCACAAATGTTCCTAAGTTGAAGAAAACCTCTGCAAACAACAAATGAGAATGGGAGTTAAAATCTTCAAAGTAGCCAAAAGGCCATGATCTATCCATCACATCACAATCTCCCAATCTGTAAGAATCTTAAAGAGAAACCCCAAACACCATCACAATAACCAGCATCTGCAACCTTTTGAATCTTGTGGCCCCTCGAACCATCGATCCCATTGTGGGGTCAGAGGGCCGTGGGTTCTGCAGCAAACCGAAAAACAGGGGCAGAAGAAGAAGAAGATTTTTAAGGGCTACAGTTGCAGAGAGAGCAATGAAATTAAAGAGGAAATGGAGATCTTACTGTGGGAGAAGTGGGTCTGGTCTTGTTTCCACATTGCTCAGCATTCTGACAGGTTCAAAAACAGCAATTTCACAAATGAATTGGAGAGTTTCACACATTTTTTTTTTCTTTTCATGGATACTCAATTCAGCAGATCCCTAATAAATTCTATCATGCTTACTCTTTGCATGCTGTTGATGCCTTGTCCAGCTTTTCTAGCTGTTCCAGTTCTTCCTGCAGTAGAATTCACAATGACACTAACTTAACACCTCTAGAACCGACACGTATCTTGAATCGATGCTAATAATCACAATCAAGCAGCTCAATGAAGTTTATTCTAACCGAACAACTTAAACTTTTGAATCCAAAGATGATATAACATGTAATCAGGGCAAAGAGCCTGAAGTCTAAATCTATTCAATGTTATTTACTCCCACCATTGCGTACTAATAGTCTATATGTTTGATCTCGTGGATCAAATTGATACTGGAGCATACAAGTCAAAGGAAGTACGGAAAAATAAGTTTTTGCGTTTAGTAGGTGATTCTCTGAGTGAGGATTATTAAGGCAGCTCATTAAGTATATGGTTAGTAGTTTTGTATTAGTTGTAAATCAGTTGGAAATAGTTGATATCTGTAACAGAATAGTGTTCTCATCTTCTCTACAGACTCTTCTATATAAGTCTATAAGAAATTCTCTTTTATTCAAGAAATGATAATATGAAGCTTTGAGTAACAATTGTTGAATTCATGCTTAATTCACTTCTGTATTTAGGATAAACATGTATATATTGAGATCTGCTAGTCAAAATGTAAGACAGATGGGAAAAACAAGAAACAATAGACAGATGGGAAAAACAAGAAACAATAGTATTGCTAACGTCTTTCAGATTGAAATAAAAGATTTCTCGAGTCAACCGAGGTTAAGACACCACTGCATTTCCTAAGGGATTGTAGGTTCGAACCCTCACCGTAATGTTGCAGCTGTAAGCACAAGAACACAATCTGCTTTTTCTCTTTAAATGTTATTGTACAGAGCATCATATTCAGAAGTTTTGAAAGCCAAAACCACTTAAAATTCGCATTCAATCGACAACTGCACTAAGCAAGAACTCGGAACCCCACAAATTTTAGACAGTATCCCTCTAAAACCATCAGAACAGAATCTAAGTCGACAAGAACACTAGCACAATACAATACTTCAGAGCAGTTTCCCCATCCAGAAACATTTGAAAATTAAGTACAGAACTCATTTACATTTCACCTCAAGTTCGAATCAAAATTTCTCGAGTTTCAAATTCCATAGACGGGCGTCTGAAAATCAGGGAAGCGATAATTTACCACAAACCAATTCAAAATCACACACGATCGGAAACCCAAAACGAAAGAGAGAAAAGGGGACAGACCTCGAGAAACCTTGCTTCTTGCTCGAGCCGCTTCAGTTCGGCCTGTATCCTGTGCTTCCCTCTGGTATCGATTGTAGAAGAAGACTGAACCCGTTGGGTTATCGGGCTCGCGGATTCGGACATACCCGATCGCTCCTCCGATTACAAGAATCCAAAATTCAAGCCCTAAAGCTGTTGTATTCTATTTAGTCAAAAAAGATCAAAGAGACGCCATTAGAGAGGAAGATAAGGAAGACCCAGAAGCGTTTATGGCGATTCCATGAACCCTTTTTGGTGTAAGTGATTATGGGATCTAAACAGAGAGAGAATTTGGCGTGGCGTGGCCGCAGCAGCCGCTAGGGGTCCCTTTCTTTTGGTGGGCTGTTCTATTAAGCGTTGTTTTGGCCCTTTTTCAGGCGAGTGGAGAAGAAAAATAGGGCCGGTGAGTATTTGGATGAAAGCTGGTTTTCTTTTCTTGTCATATTCTATGAAATTTCTTCACTTTTCTCACTTTCTGTGTTGTTCTTTTGTCTCTTTGTGGCCCTTTCTTCCCTTGTTCTTTTGTCAGTGTATTTAATTATACAGAGCAAGTACAGAAAAACAGTGGAGAATGGGGACGGTGATGACTGAAATTTGAGGCTAAAATTAGGGTTCTCCTAAGATTTTGAACATGGTACTTTGCAGGTGTTTTGCTTTTGATGTTATTTTGGGAATATCAAATCTTCAAAACTGTTTGAATTATTGAGAAAGTTTTGTTTTTGCTAATGTTATTCCTTTGGTTTGGTGTTCTCTTTTCATTCAATTAAACTTCAATGGGTTGAACCAAAAAAATTGACTTTTTCATGAATAGCCATTAGCCATCTTTGAAAATGTCTTCATATGAAAATGGTATAAAATATAATCGTAAATAAAAGTGGAGTAGGGTCTACAAATTGGTAGACTTGAACTTGATCGAATTATTACAGTCATTTCATAAATTACGAGTTAATTGGAATGAAATTTTAAAATTTTGATTTGTTTTTTACTTTATCAAAACTTCTCTGCAGAAAATTAAAATATGTTGAAAAAAAGGTCAGTAAAACCGCTTCGATATAGGAGAGGTCTAAACATGAAGTTTTTTCTTGTACAATCTTTTTTTAGTATAATAAATATGTGCAGGTGTAGATTTCAACTTTCACCCAAAGAAAGAAGTAGATAGATGTTTTTACCATTAAAATAGACTCGTGTTGACCACCCGTATTCAACATCTTCTAGATTGAACTTTATTATTAGATATTATATTAATATATGTAACAACAAACGAAGAAAATGACTTACAAAGAGGAGGTTTATGTTGTTAGTGATGAGTTTTTTTATTTTTTATTTTTTATTTTTTTGTAGGTTGTTGTCATTTCATTATCGACCAAAAGGTTTTTCAACAATTGATAGGGGTTGCTTTCTATATCATAGGCAAATAGATTTAATGAGAAAAAAAAAATCATTGAAATAAGTGAAGTTTCAAAAAGAAAATGAAATTTAACGGAACACAGCCTACAACTCAACAATGAATGAAATGGTCAAACTCAAATGAGGATGAATTAATTATTTTATTTTTATTTTATGTCATATAGGTTAGTTGGTTTTATAAATTAAATCTATAAGGGAATTAATAGATGTTTGAAATATTTTTATTGGTGATAACTGGTTGTGTCATTGGCTTTTAATTTATTCGGGCTGAATGGGACAAACACAAATATTTGTATTTTTTCAAGTTACATATTTTTCGAAATTCAAAATTACAAAAAGAATAAAGAGTAATTAAAAAAGAGTAAAAGCACAATCATGCTGCCAAACACATGTCCCAGTAGTATTGGGAACATGTTTACTATTATTTTTTTTTTTTYTAAAAAAGTAAAAATAAATTTTTGACTTAGCATCTTTTCTTTTTGTCTCAATAAAAAGAAATAAACGTGTATCTCAATAATAGTAGGATACGTGTCTTGACAGTAGGATTTTACTACTGCTCATACAATATTTTAAAAAAAATCGATAATTTTAAAAGATAGAAAAATATTTATTTGTGCCGATCAAGATAAAAGAATCCATTAAGCATTGTTGTTTAAGTTTTACTCTCTAAATAGAAAGTAGGGATTGACGACCTTTTGAAAAGGTCAAATTCTCAATTGGGATTTGCATAATTTGGACAACCGTAGTGGAAAATTAATTTGGGCCCAATTCTTCATCAAATTCTCACATTGGGCCGAGTTTATGGTGGGCTCACAGCTTATTGTTGGGAAGCTATGGGCTTTTTGGGCTGTTAATCAGTAGTTGGATGAGAACTCGGTAGAAAATATTTATAAAAAACTATTATTATTAAGGAGGATGGAAGGTATGTAATTTACACTATGTGTCATGAAACAAACTTATTAAGGATGTATCCATCACCTAAATTATAAAATTATCCTTTTGTATATACACATTAATTTTAATTGATTTTTAAATTTCAGAATTCATTAATTAGAAGGTTATATTTTGAATATCATGATATTTGCTTAATGATACTTTCCAAAAGAAGCTAAAATACCAAAACATCCAAAAATATCCTCAAATCCCTCAAATTCGAAACTAGTGACAGTTCGTTTCTTCTTCTCCGTTCATCGGGATTATTCTTCCGACTGTTTGCACCTTCTCCAACGATTCTCCTCGATTTCATATGCTCCTCCATTCGTCTGCTTCGTCTGTCTCAGAGACTTCGTATTCGTCGCATAGTTGTCTATTCCCATCGTCGAGCAGTCTGTTTCCGTTCTACCATCGTTCCATTCTGTCCGCTCCTTCGTCTCCGGTGCCCACCTCCGTTTTTCTCCGTCGCTGGAGCAATTCGTCTCCGTTTATCCCGATCGAAAAGTTTGCATTCCAATATATCATAATATATCCTAATGTTGAAAACCTTGTTTTTTATAATGGTTGCCTTGCACTCTTTACCTTATAGGGATATATTGGGATATATGGGGAAAAAGTGTTCAAATGAAAAGGAACCCGTTGAATCAAATCTGAAATGCATCCGGCGGTGGCTTCCAATAATTTACACACGAAGAGAGATGAAATTGGATATTTTTTCCATTAATAATAATGATAAATCATGGGAATAAATCTTTTTGGAATGAGTGAATTGAAATTTTGTATGGGGCTTACAATAATTAAAGGAATAGGATTACAATTTAAGATTCAAATCTTTTAAATTTAAAAAATATATATATAATAAAAATAAAGGTAATAAATAAGGGTAAAACCGATATTATAAAAAAATCATAGAAATGAAAATTTAGACATTTGTGAAATTAAGTTTAACCCTCCACAGACATTATTTCTTATTCTCTCATTATTATTAATAAAACATTCCATCCAAATTCTAGCCTTTAAACTCTCATGTTTACAAGATTTACATTTTCAGGGAAAAAAATAAATATATATTGCTATTAAAATCTAACTCAGTATTGTAGATTTTATTCTCTTTAGCTAGAGTAAATTATTAAATATTTTTATATTTAAATTTTAATTTAAATACTATTTTTTTAGTACGAATCATTTTAATCTCTTCATTTTTATTTTTATATCATTTATTTTGATCAAAATTTGACTGCATTCACTAAATTTACGGAAATGTAACTATAAATTTGTACTAAAATATTTATGTGCATAAAATTTGTGTTGGAATTTTGAAATTTTACAAATAGAAACTAAAATGATCCTTTCTTATGAGTAAATGAAATAAAATAGACCTTTTAAGAGTATAAATACCTAAAATACATAAAAAACGTTGCAAAGTAAAACCAAAATAATATTTAAATCATATATATATATATATATATTTTATTGAATTGACATATATATTTTTAAAGCACCAAAAGGGAAGAACCCTCGTGAATGGCAGTATGTGAAGTGTCACCGTCCAAAATATGAGGAATTAAGATTCTAAGAAACAGTTATTTTAAAGTCTGTTTGAAAGAAAGGTGACCGATGGGTAACGGCATCGTAACCTTTGCTTCCAATTCAAGAAATTTCTCTCTTCCATTTCTCGAGGTCTGCTACTGTACACAAAAATGGTGCCATCCGCCAACGCCAAGCAAATCAATTCATGAAACTGAATTATTGAACTGAAAACTGAATCACTGTGCTTCTTCCCAATTTCCCCACTCTCCTTCGTCGCACTTCCGGCTTAATGGCGTTCCCATTAGGAGCTTTGCCACGCGCCGCCGCTGCCTGTAATTTCCCCCAACTCGGTGACAAGAACTTCCTCGTTCTCCCACTGGAACGAGAGGTCGAGATTCGGCGGGCAAGAGGCGCGAGGAGATTGAGAATTAGGGTTTCGGATGGAGGGGAATCATACCTCGGCATGTGGAAGAATGCGGTGGAGCGCCAGAGAAAGGCTGTGGAGTTCCAGAGAGTTGTGGAGAACACGGCTGGGAATGGAAATGGCGCTCGCGACGGCGGAGACGGGATTTCTGATCAGTTGGAGAAGAAGAGCGAGGAGTTCAGTAAGATTCTTCAGGTCCCAAGGGAGGAAAGGGACCGGGTTCAGCGGATGCAGGTCATACATCGAGCTGCTGCCGCCATTGCAGCTGCTCGTTCTCTTGTCGGTGAGGCTGGATCGGCGGCAGTGGTGGAGTCGAGTTCGCGGGATTTGAATATCTCTGTAAATTTGGATGGTGGGAACAACGGTGGACTGCTGCAAGATCGTGAAGAAGGTAAGTTTCTCACTGTTTCTCCGTAGGGACTGATCTATTTTGTCAACTACAAAAGCCCCAAATAGAGGTCAAGTTACATATTTATCTGAATTATTGACTCTTCCGTTTGCTGTATCTTAACTTTATTTTGAGTAGGGGAGGGAGGAGTCGTCCATACAGATACTAATTTTGAACTTTGAATACTGCGATAAAACAGTTATCATTTTACTGTTTGGATTATTACCGAATGAATATACTTTTAAGTTTGACCAGGACTGTCTTCTCTAAGTTCAAATTCAGAAAATTGATAAATTAGTATACATCAAGATCGATAATCAATATTCTTACAAAGAAAATAATGGCAGCAGTGATTAGCATGACCAGAAATGAATATAGAACTAGTATTATTGTGGTTCAGGTTGCTAGAGAGATTGGTTATCTGGGTTATATTTGTATATTTTTTATGTGGTTTATTCAGGTTCTCATACTAACTCTTTCTTTTTGTATTTTTGTTAATTTGTTAATTATGTTCGATTCATCTAGAATTATCTGAATTTCAAAGTGAGAACACCCTGCTACCTGAGTCTGAAACTTCACGAACTGGTACGCCGGGTCCAGATTTTTGGTCTTGGACGCCCCCTCCCGATAATGATAGGAATGCTAATACTTCCAGTGAGTTGCGACCAGCTGAAAAATCACAGGCATTTCCAATGCTATCCAATTTAGTTGAGGAGAAAGAGCCGTCTGTGGGCTTTCTGTCAATTCCATTTCAGAGCGAACTCTCCAAACCTCTTCTACCTCCCCTTCAATCATTGATGGATGTTGAAAAATTGAAAACGTCAGAATCCAGTTCCGAGACGCATTCGTTAGAAGAAGATGAAAATGTTGAGATACAGTTTTCAGTACACGCTGCAGAAGCATCACATGCACTTAATAGTGTAGATAAGGAATCAACGAAAGGAATAAATCCAGATGGGTCGAGATGGTGGAAGGAGACAGGAGTTGAGCAGAGACCAGATGGGGTGATTTGCAAGTGGACACTAACCAGAGGAGTTAGCGCAGACCAAGTCACTGAGTGGCAGAACAAGTATTGGGAAGCTGCTGATGAGTTTGGCTATAAGGAACTTGGTTCAGAGAAATCTGGTCGTGATGCCTTCGGAAATGTTTGGCGGGAATATTGGAGAGAATCCATGCGGCAGGTGAGTTTGAATGAATTGTTACTGATTTGAATGCTTCTGCCACTTTGTCCCGTAAAAATATTTGCTTGATGCGAGCACTTAAAGTCTCAAGAGTTAGTTCACATATATCTGCAAAAAAAATTCTTTTTTTTTTCTTTAATTGCATTCTCCTGTTAAAAGAATTTGCAATGGTCGGTTCACATTCATATGAAAGTTTGATATCTTTGAAAATGAAGTTATATCAGTCATTGGATAATTGCGAGAAGATGAAGATGCCTTGGTGTGCGTAGTGTACAATGTGTCAGTTGATATCTAACAGATTTTTTGTGTCTTTGACTCTGATATTTAAAAAAGGATTCACTCATGTTCTAGATGTTTGTCCAAATTTTCAGCAGAAGCTTATTATTCGAAATTCCATTCATTTAGAGTATTATTTTTAACCCTTGATGGCCACAGTGCTCACTCAATCCTGTAGACACTGACTTCTAATGGGAAAAATGGTTGGCTTCACTAGCCATGGAGCATTATTGCTTAATAATTTCAAATGATAATACTATCCAATCTAATTTGGGATTACAATAACATGAGAATATGAGATCTATCAATATGTTGGATCCTTGAAAGTGTTTTATCTCTTCCTGCAATTCATTTCCTCAACACTTCCCAGCTAATATTCGATTCCTAATTCCAATCTTTGCAGTAAGCATAGTTTTGTCTTGTATGAACTGAAGTGAGCTAACCTTTCTTTCAGGAGGAAGGCCTTGTGCACCTTGAGAAAACTGCAGACAAGTGGGGGAAAAATGGAAGCGGCAGCGAGTGGCAAGAGAAATGGTGGGAATATTATAATACCTCTGGTCAAGCTGAAAAGAATGCTCATAAATGGTGTAGAATTGACCCAAACACGTATGTCAATGCTGGTCATGCTCATATTTGGCATGAGAGGTATCGGATCATTCTTGTTATCCACTTTACTTGATCTTTTGTGATGTATTCCCAATCTTCTGATTCCTTTTCAAGATTTCGTACATGTAATTTGGTGATATGCTTGTTGAGAAATTGTCCTGTAACTTTTCTTTCGCAGATGGGGTGAAAAGTATGATGGACAAGGTGGCAGCATTAAGTACACAGATAAATGGGCTGAACGATGTGAAGGTGATGGTTGGTCGAAGTGGGGCGACAAATGGGATGAAAATTTTGATCAAAATGGTCTTGGCATCAAACAGGGGGAAACATGGTGGGAAGGTAAGCACGGAGAAAGGTGGAACCGTACATGGGGCGAGGGCCACAACGGTTCAGGCTGGGTTCACAAGTATGGAAAGAGCAGCAGTGGGGAGCATTGGGACACACACGAACAGCAGGAAACCTGGTATGAGAGATTCCCACACTTCGGGTTTTATCATTGCTTCAACAATTCAGTCCAGCTCCGGGAAGTTCAGAAACCATCTGAGACGTCGTAAGTTGCTTCAGTAAGTCTATTTTCTTCCCAAGTTGATATAAAAGCTTGGTAGTATAGCTCATTCTGAAGAAAATTGAATGCTTCATTAGAATGGATTCCGTTTTCCAGGCAATGTACATATAATAAAGAAAACTGCACAACATAATCCTGTTTTACAGGGATATCAGAAAACCTCGCTAGTTTATAAATTAGCTTACTTTTTTTGCTGAAATGATTTTGCATTAGTTATATACCTGCTGCATATAGAAGTAGAAGTAGCATTGAAACTGCTTGGGAAAATACTATCTGTTCATGAAATTATATGGCCTTGAAAGTCATCACAAGTATAAGTATCTCTCAATATGAGATGTCACATGAACCCAATATTTATTATTATATTAAAAATCAAAGTTTACTTAGAATATATGATTTAGACTGTTCAGGCTGTGGTTGTGATTACTTAGGCTTGAGTATTGACTTATTGTTCAAAGGAGAGCTCTCATTCAAGTCTAACCTTTAATCTTTCTTCCTACTTTTCCAGGCGAAGCCTTTTGATTTTTTTGAAAATTAGACTTGGGCTCTGATTAGTTTACCATTTTAAATCAAAATTGGCCATTTTTCTTTATCAGATCTGATACTGTAAAATTAGATCATGGAAAGTAAATTTTGGTTCAGTAATAATGTGAAAGGTAAATCAACTACTACATCATTTTTACCCTTTTGGGATTATTAGAATTTTGAATTTAAACTTCTTTTGTGAAACACAACCTTTTATTCATATGATCTTCTTGTAAAAGAACTAATGAAGAAGAAGTGATCCTTTCCTTTGGAAACCTCCAAGCAAAGAGAGTCCATGAAGATGGATGGGTTTAAAGTCATATATTAATCCTTTTTTAAGTGCTCACCTTTTTTGGTTTGGAACATCCTAGGGTCGGAGCTTTAGTCTCTGATATTGATGGAACCTATGTTTGTCCAAATCCTGAACGAACTTGAGTGACATCAAAGATTTTCTTATCAAACTCATTCAAAAGTTCGAACATACATAGGTGGTAACTAAGTCGCTCCTCAGGGGCATTAGGTACTTGCCTTTTCAAAAGGAAAGATCCATTGTTGAGAACCTACCAACCGTTGTTTGGTTATAGAATAGTGATTCCTATGTATGTTTTCTAGCAATATTTGAACTTAATTTATATTGTATTTTGTCTCGAGTTCGCAACTTATAGAATCCTCATCTCTGAGTTGGATTTTTTTTTTTGTATCACGATGTTCTAACGTGTGAATGTTCACACCTCAATTCAAAATTCGTATTCAACTTTGGCTATAAGCATCCTCCCAAAATGTCGTTTTCTTCCCATCTAATTTAATTTGCAACGATTCAATAGGTGGCTCTTAAAAATTAGATTCGAGTAAACTTGTATAAATCAAGGTTTAAAATAAACCACAAAAAAGAACACAATTGACAAAGATTGTCAAAGGAAACAAGACGTACCATAGAGAATTGGAAAGTGGAAACCGCGTGGCAGTTAGTTCATTTTGTCTTCTCTACTAATTTCAAAAGTGTTGGCCTCTGCAATTTTTTCTGTTTGATGTTATGAAGCTTTTATCTGCCAAAAAATATCTTTCAATTAAGTTGTCTTGAGCCTCAAGTTATCATAAAAATCAAAAAAAAAAAAAATTAAAAAGATTGTATTGTTGTCAGGTATCAAATTTATGAGTTCGACGTTGACATATGCAATGAATCGACATTTTCATAATATAACAAAAAAACAGACAAAGTATAAAAAATATCAACAAAACATTATTTATGAACATAATATTAATATTAATAATTTTAACTTATTTAACAGAGTAAAACTTGTTGCTTTAAATATTTGTTATAAATTTATATTTAAAAGAAACATCTATCAACATCGATATTTTATCTATATTTTCATAAAATTAAAACTTCGATAATAGTCTATCAATTTTTACGTTTATTATTTTCCTTTAATACAACAAATGTGGAAGATGAGGATTTGAACTTGTAGATGCTATTTAGTGTTAATTTAGGTTTATGTTTCCTATTATGTTTTGGTCGTTGGAGTTTGAAATTATTTTATTTTAGGCTCAAAATTTTTATAAAAGTTTAATTTGATTTTTGTATTACATTTCACAAGAATTTATGCTTTCAATTTTGAGCCATATTTGATTTCGAGGCTCAACACATGTGGTTTAAAATACAAGTGTCGGTGTGGTGCTATGTAAGTTCCCATTAAATGCACTTAAAAAGATAAGGACTCATAATATTTATGCATCAAAATATAATATTTTGAAAATAATAATAATAATAATAAGAATCAAGATAGAATAAATATAAAAGTTTCTTTAAAAGACTAAATAGTTATGGTTTATTTTGATCTTATTTAAACCAAACTTTAATTTAAATAGTTAGGAGATTAAATATCCTAGGAATGTTTTCATGGTATGTAAGAACAAATAGTTGTTTATAATGGAAACAACTATGAAAATAGATAATAATAATTAAATAAAGAACTATGAAACAAAATAAATTGAATCTGCATGATCAAGAAAAATATTCATGAACTCTACAAAAATTCAAGCTCATTAAAAAATAAAAATAAAAAAGCTATCTTTTTTTTATATATGTATATGCTCATCTCATGAGCCCGTCAACGTGCAATTCTATTCTATATTTCTCTGAAGTTGCTGAAGCTTTGACCTACTGAAATTTAATGGAATGGGGATGGAAATCTATTATTTTTATAACTTGATTCTCTCCTAAAAAATTGAAAGAAAGTTCTCTTTTTCAATGAAAATTATTTAGATATTCATACTTTTAGGCTTCAGCTTAGTTTCATTTTGGTCTCTATGTTCAATTTGATTCTTATGATTTTGTTAAATGTTATCAATAATCTTATCCTTAAAGTATTTTTTTACCTACTTATAATCCGCCCACTTCTAAATATTGTTGAACTAAAAAAAAAATAAATAAATAACTAAGTGCCATGTAAGCAAACGTATATTCAATATGATAATGATATACATGAACTATTAGATATGATTGAATTACATGGATAAAACTGAAACTTTTAAAACTATATAGACTAAATTGAAACTTAGATCAAACTATATAGAAATCCGAACTTTGATGAGAGAGGACCGAATTTCATTCTTTAGAAATGTTTAAATCACACTCTTTTTTGGTCATGAAAGTTAACTTTGACTCTAGAGATTATAACAATTTGATATTTTGGTTAGGAGAAAAGAAAATTTTGGCTTGTGGTTGTTGTGTCCTTTGCCCCCTATATAAATTCTCAATCCAACAGAGACAAAAATCCCTCTCTCTCTCTCTCTCATCAGTGCCATTTCTAAGGTTTCCATGGACAAAATCATGGGGGAAGGTCTGGCCAAAGAACAAATGGATGAGCTTGAAGAAGCTTTTTGTCTATTTGACAAGAACAGAGATGGTGGGTCAATTTCTTTTTCTTCTACAACCAACAATATCATAGTTTTCAATTCAATTCTGTTTTGAATATAGCTCAAATCAAACCATGTCTTGAATAATAATCAGGTTGCATCACCCCTGATGAACTAAGAACAGTGATGATCCGACAATTGGGTCTGAATCCGACAGAACAAGAACTCAAAGACATGATCAGAGAAGTTGATGCTGATGGAAATGGAACCATTGAGTTCGGGGAATTCCTCACCTTGATGTCCAAAATCATGAAGGTCTTTCATTTCCTTTCACCCCTTACTTTATTTTCCATTTTTCCTTTAGTTGAAGTAACGATTTAGTTCTTATACCTTTCGATTTTGTTTGTTAGGAAGAAGCGGAGGAGAAGCTGAAAGAGGCTTTCAAAGTGTTTGACAAGAACCAAGATGGGTATATATCAGCAAACGAGGTACAAGTGCTTGTTTTAATGGAAAAACATGAACAAAGGTCAAATTTTTTCCAATTTTTGAGGAAACCCATCAAAGAATTGATCCAAATATCATGAGATTTCTCTTGTGGTTTGCAGTTGAGCCATGTCCATGTGATGCTTAATCTTGGGGAGAAGTTAACAGAAGAGGAAGTTGTTCAGATGATCAGAGAGGCTGATTTGGATGGAGATGGCCGAGTTAACTATGATGAATTCGTCAAGATAATGACTGAGGGATGGAAAAAAACAATGTTTGCTTAGAAATCCGACCAAAAAGAAGTGTTTTTCTAATGATGATTTATGAAAAGAACAAAAAAAAAAGAAAAAACTAGGTTGAGTGCATGACAAGACAAGACAAAACCCCTGTTTGATTTGTCATTTCTCCATTAGTTTATTGTAGTTTCTGCAAATCTACCAAGTGAAAAAAGAGAAAACTCAAGAAGAATTCAAACTGGAAAATGATTGGAAGATCAGTATTTGACTTCATGTCAAGTTGGAAACTTTTGGGAAATTATGGTTTAAATACAAAGAAATGATACTTTTTATCTATTATTCAATATTTCAATGTGGTTTGGAAACTAAAGAAAACAAATTAGTTTATATTGTGATGTGCAGAATGTGGCATTCTTAGTTGAATCTAAAAGAGGAAAAGGAAAACAGAACTTTTGAGGTTCTTTTAAGAATTCTTGGTCCCATATGCTAACATTAGACTCCCATTTTTGGTCCTACTCACTCTTTTGTCAGTTCCATAAATAAAAATTCAGAGTTTAGAATTAATGTTAATGATTCACTTGATTAAACAGAACTCATTCATAATCACAGAGCTATAATCAAACTTTATATTACAACATGCCTAAATTTATCACATCAACACTAAAATCCAGCAACCAACTTCAAAGGAGAGCATCACTCTTAATGTTACAACAGATGAAACAGAGCTTGTGACTTTGTTCAGCTTAGGACACCCAACAGAACATCAAATTTATATTACAAACAAGATACATAAGTTTGTTTAGGCTGGTACAGCTTCAGGTTTGGGGATCCTCCCATTGTTTGCTGGAATCAAACTGTCATAGTATTCGACCAACACGCTCCAGCCACCGGGGCACATAAATCCATCTGGAGGGTTTTCCTTGTTCCGTGCAAGAGTTCGCATCTAACGATTACGAAAAAAAGCTTTAGATCAGACACCGTTGTCTGTCCTTTTTGTTGTTTTTTTAGTTTTAGAGACAAAAGACAGTTATCATATAAAGTGTATATGAAAATGTTGTGAAACCATTTAGTCAATATTGGTATCAGAAAGTAAAGTACCTTTGTGCCTGATATGAAAAGGAAATCCTGAGGTCTTGAGGGGTCAAAAAATGCCATTTTCCCTTGAGTTTTGTCATATGCAGCGACCTGTGTATAGTTGCAATTGAATCAGTGTTGAAGAGGGACAATAACAAAGCCCAATGTGAATGGACTGGAAGTTTTCAAGTACCTTGAAAGGAAGGATGTTCAAGCGCTCTAGCCCAGGTGCCATGCTCAATACTTTCTTCCCATGGTCAGCATCATAAAGATCCCTTTTCTCGGTCGGATGGCCCATGCCTGCGGGATCTCGACCGACGATGTAGAAGTTTGCCCCGGCATTGATCCTTGCCTTGGCATGCCACTGCACCTCGGTCGGCCCGGCATAGTGCATCGGCGATGGGAAAATGGAGACGACGGTCGTCTCTGGATCAAGAACACCGTCCTCAAGCACCTGAGTTCATTTCAGATGGCATGGAAATACATCAGTATAGACATTGCAATTGAACAGGTTATTATGTGTGAGGATTCCATGTTGCAATATCGATAGTCTAGCATTTCGATAGGACTATCTCTCTCCCAAGTCTTATATTCCCTAAAAGTTAAAACTATGCCTATTCTCCACACTCTCTTAAGTCTTTACTCTATTTATAACCAATCCTATCCGAACAAACTACCCAGCAATTACAATCATGCCAATACTACTACTAATATTTTCAATACGGGATCATGTTGCTACTGATAGATCCTGCCCAGATCAAGAGAAAGCTTCTTTAGAAAGAAGAGAATGAGAGTAGGAGTTATTGCGGCCCTCGTTCTTTTGACTGTTCAATATAGCATTGAGCCTCGATAACATGGGCCCTATTGTAGATAAAGTATTAATACTCTAACACTACCGGACCTTGCATACAGCAAACCAACAAGAAATTGGACCCCATAGATAACTAGAAACACCCTAGAAAGTAGAAAAAGTTGAGATGAAATATGATACAAAACAAAATCCATATGGCCATATGGGAAGATTACTATACCTTTTCATGTTGTTTCATTCTCCAGTTAAGGGGAACATCATCAGCCTTGGTGTAGCCACCCAATGGATTGAGCAAGAGGATGGGGTTCTCATAGCCCATATCAAGAAGCCGACGACGCGTATCAGTCATCAGCAGAGCGTGACCGTTGTGCACGGGATTGCGAAGCTGGAAAGCAAACACTGCATCGGCGTTGCGCCTGGTGAACTCCTTGCGAAGTTCTGCTGGTGATAACCGAAAACGGTCGAGGCCGTCGTGGTACTTGATCGGTTCTATGACCTCTAGATCACCTCCTATCAGCCAATTTCCTGCATTCTTAATAGCCTCATCAGCATAAGGCAGACCTGAAGCTGTGGTTCCCCATGTTCTTGCAATCCTTTCTTCCTTGGGGTGCTTGTAGATCTCAATGCTGATAAAATTTCAACAAAAGAAACCATGAAACTACTTCACACCCCCATTATAAATTTCTACTAGAACATCTACAAAAACATGAAATCACTAGAATCTAATAAACTCATCAATGGCACAAGATAACTGTACATAAATATATATATTTTTTCTAATGGAAAACACAGCTTCCATTGAGAACAAATGAAAGAATATAACAGGGAAATAAAAAAATTAAAAAAAAAAATCCCAAGCCAAGAAAAACAAATTACAGAAGAGCTCTAATTCAAAAGTAAAGGTACATGAATCATTAATGGCAGACCTCAAACATGTTTTCGGTGTTTTGATTCAAAATTGAGAAAACTTGCACTTGCTTTTAAGTATTCTCTTAACATGTTAATTATATTATTTAGTTAATTTAGATTATGATTATAGAAGTAACATTAGATAATGAAATAATAGTTGGCTAAATATTTTTTACAGAATTATAACTTTTAACAAATATTAAATTAGTATTTAAGATGCTTGAAACAAATGTTAAAGGTCACACTTGAAAACCCAAACCCACATCTATCATGATTTTTCTTAGGCTAAGGGTGAACTTTGGCAGTCTTTTGAAAAAATAATAATAATAATAATTAATTGGTAAGTATTTGAGAAGAAAATTAATTAGATGCTTCGCCTAACATAAATTTAAGTGATTTTTATTTGTTTTTATAACTTTCCAAATTACTTATTATAAAAATTAAAAGCACTCTTAAAAATTTTAACTAACCGCTACCATTTTTTTAAACACTTTTAATCTTCCATAAATAAATACTTTAAAAGACATGCTAAAATGCACAATTAGTTTTTGAGTAGTTTTTTTTTTTAATTACAAAAGCTTGAATTTTGATTTTTATTTTGTGAGTTAATTTTTTTCTTTTGTTATAAAAATTTTCACTTTTCTATTCCACAGTTCATAACAACTTAAATTTGGATAACATACAGTTTAAATTTGTAAAGCTATAGTTGATTAAGTGAGACTCTAAAGTTTCATCATTTTCTTTTTTCTTCTAGTTTCTTTTATTTTCTTTATAATTGCAAACTACTTATTCTTACCTTTTTTTTAACATATTGTTAATACAATATTATCTATGCTCCATACGTTTGAAAAAAAAACATAAAAAATAACTAAAAGTAATAAAACGATAAAAGAAAATGTCCTTTAAATTTTAAAAAATATCTAATAAATCGTAAGGTCTCGTTTGATAATCATTTTATTTTTGATTTTTTATTATGAAAATTAATTTTGGATACACCACTTTAGTATTTCTTTGTTTTAGATCTAATCTAAAATTTGAAAACTTAAAAAAAAAATGAAATTTGGTGAAGAGTTCAACTGTGTTTAAAAAAAAGTTAAAAGCCTTAGTTTTTATTCAACAGTTTCAAACTTATAACGAGAGATTCTTGAAGTTCAAGGACTTAATTGGAACCGAACTTATTAAATTCTTATTAAAATTTAGTTCAAGAACCAATTAAATAAACTATCGAACCAAAACAAAATTTTTCTTTTTTTTTTAGTAGCAATCTAAAACAAATTTATAATTTAACGGGGGCAAAATGTAAATTCTCGTCAAAAGATCTATGTAGGCTTGATCCAAACGGATGAGCAATACACGTGTCGTCTGCAGGTTGAATCCTACGGATGCAATTTTCTACTATTGAGGTGTGAGAAAGTGACAACGGACAAACTAAACATCAAACAGCGTATGAAATTTCGACAAAAACATATCCCCAAATGTAAAATGACCAAATAAACCCCAAAGAAACTAAAAAGTGGAAGAAAATAATAGTTATTTAGTTCTATATATTTAAAATTGCGACTAAAAATAATATTTCCAGCTGTTTCATTAACTTTTGAACAATGGACTACCATTAATTTGACAAATAGAGTATAGAAATGTCATTTGTTTTAAAAATAAAAGAGATGTCAAATTTATTGTCATGGTCTGAAGATAGGCAATAACCTTAACTTTTTTATAGCTATTTTCTCAAACATTTTTCTTTTCTAGGGGAGTATTTCTTTTAATATCTAATAAAATTTTAAATTTTAAATTTTAAATCTAATATTATTGTTTAACAAATTCATGATATATGAAACATATTTAAAAATTTATGAATTTATTAGATAAAAAAATTGAAAGGTCAAAACATAATACAAAATTCAACTCTCACGAAGGTTAATTTGAAAAAAAAATGGTTAAATATGGAACAATCAAAATTAAAAATCTAAAGGGTTATTAAACAAAATCAAAATTAAAAGGACAAAACTCGTAATTTACCTATATTTTTCAGGGGATTCTATTTCGCAGCATTATTTCAATTTGGGGGAAAAAGAAAACCAAAATAATGAACAGAGAAAAGGCATGATACATACTCTTTGAGAATGGCCACCGGACGATCATCGGAGGCGAATAGGGCGACGTCGGAGGAGGCGCCGATCCGATGCTTTACGGCATCGTCGATGGCCAAAACAATCGGCACCGACATATTAACAACCCCGGCGCCGGCGAGGCGGAGGGAGTTGAAATGAAGCGTTTGGAGGAACTCGGGTTCTCTCATGAACCCAGAAAGAGGGGTGGCCCAGCCCTCGCTCAGCACGTGGACCCACTGCAGATCGATTCGGGACAGCTTGATTCGCGGCTGAGACAACGCCTCCCGCTTCTTCAATCCCCTCATGGATTCGTCCACGAGGAGCTCCACCAGCTTCCCGCCGTCCGGTTCGATTAGACCGGCCGAGACCCGGAGTTGGCGATGATGGGTGGTGTTGGTCCTGACCCGCAGAGCCGGCGGCGGCGGCGACGGGGGGATTTTGGTGAAGCGTAGGGGAGCTTGGTGGGAGGGTTTGCAGAAGACGGCCGCCATGGACGCCATTGGAGGTGAAGACCCAAGCTCATGATGCTTCCCCTGTTTCCGCGGGGACGTTTTTAATAATAATTGTACGGACAATTCGTTTACTTTATGAATTATGGCCCAGTTTTAAAACCAATTTTCTGAAAATCCAATAATAAAATATGAAATAAGTTTAAAATGATTATGTTAAAAAAACGTTTTTATCCATATACTTTCATGAAAGTAACAATTTAGATCTTAAATTTTAGTGTGTACGATTTAGTCCATGTAATTTTTAATCACTAAACTTTAATAGGTAACAATTTAGTTATTGTAATTTAAAGTTTGTAAATGATTTATAAGATTTTTTTTTGCTAAGTTTCTTATATATATTGATTGATAAATTAGAGGGTCAAATATGTTTATAAATGAGAAAAATTGAATTATTATAGGGTAAAACTTGACACTTAATTTTAATGAATTTCTTTTATAATATGAATTAAATAGTTACAAATTTTAAACTATAGACACCAAGTCATTACAAAATAAAGTTCAATGATTAAATCGTTACTTTAGTGAAAATATTTTTACCTAATATTTTGTTGATATTTTTCATATTTTGTCAATTTTTTTGCAAATACTATAGAAATGTCTCCACAGACACATGAAAATACTAATGGAAACGTCAACATGTCGACATATATTTAATATTCTAACTACAATTATGGTTGAACTATGCAAATAACCCATATATTACTATCTCGAGAATCAATTGTAATTTGAACATAGTTTTAAAATATTTGTTGTAGCTCCTCAAACTTCCAAAAAGTTTGTTTTAATAGATAAACTTAAAATGATCCATTTTAGTTTTTATTGTTATTTTACTTCTAACCAAAGTTTTAAAWGTGGATGTCGATGAAAATGTCGAGGTCAATTTCATGGACATATCGACAAAATGTGGATGTCGATGGATATTTCTGTAAAAGTTAGAAATATTAAAAAAATCGTAAAAAATATTTAAATTAATAAAATAAACATTTCCCTATTTCTAAATTGGTTAAAAATAACTAATCTTAATACTATGTATATATTAGTGACATTTTGTTGGCATTTTTCATATTTTATCGATTTTTTTTTACTATGATGGAAATGTCGATTTACCCCTAATGTCAATGTCGAACTTATGGAAACATGAATACATCGATGGAAATATTGACCTATCGATGGATATTTAAAACCATACTTCTATCGTTTGGATACATAGCTTTATATTATTAGCTGCATATAATTATATATTATAGCTTCATTGGTTACAGAGTGTTGGATGAGTGGATCGAACTTTTTTATATATTCCTGAAACTGATGTAAATTTTATTTAATTTACTAATAAAATTATATTGATTTTTATGTGTACGATTAAAGGCAGGATCTTGGCTGCAAAGATACTATAACATAATAATCCACTATCAACATAGTGTTTAATATTTGAAATACCTCCAAAAGCAATTATATAAATATAATTTTTTCCCTTTAATTTGAGTTGGTACTAGGCTACCCTTCAATTTTTAAAAGATAAAATATAATCTTTAGAAATTTGTTTAAATTTGAAGTGAATTTTCCAAAGTATGGAAGAATACTGTAAAAATAATAACAACAAAATCCATATAGGATCCGTTTATAACGATTTCTGTTTTTAATTTTTAATTTTTCTGATTTTTGTCATTTGTTTTTTATTTTTGATTTTTTAGTTAAAAAAATCAAGATCTGATAACTGTTTTTTGTCTTTAAAACAGAAAGCAGTAATTTGAATTAGTTAAAACACCATGTTTTTCGAAAATAAAAAATAGAAAACAAATAGCTATCAAACAGTTTGAGATTTTTAATTAATTAGGTTTAGTGGGGAGTTTATTTATTTATTTATTATTATTATTATTTTCTTTTTAAGAATAGTTTAGTGGGGTTTGAATAAGGCCAATGGATGTGGACTTTTTTACCATCTTTTTTTGGTTCTTCCTACCTTTCTATTGAAGCTAATCTCAACTTTTGGGCAGCCATAATCAGATCCAATTGTTCCAAAAACAAAAGAAAATTGCATTATTGTCTTTTGAAAAGTCCATTACATTACAAATCTCTCTAGTTTTTTTTTTTAATTATTATTTCTTAAAAGAAGTAGAGTCAGGAGATTTTCATCTGTCCGAGGGCTTTGTTTTTTAATAATGTAAAAAACAAAAAACAAAAATGAGATAGATTTGAAAATATTTCCAAAAGTAGGGTAGCGAAATCGTGTACAATGTAGTAGACTCGCGTCCAATGGACGTGAGTCTTGTGTGATGTGGCTCCAACTCTGCAGTTGGAGCCATGCGGGAGATCAAAAATCATGTACATCGTACACGATTTCGCTAAATCGTGTGCATTGTACAGCCTCAGGTCTTGAAAATCGTGTACAATGTACACGATTTCACTGCATCAATTCCCCACCCCCTTTTCTTTTTTCTTTTTTTTTCCTAACATAATATACCGCAGTTGGGTTCTTTATGTGAGAACTTTATGTCACTGACAAAAGAACGCTCGTCGTAGGTGCCAAATTCAGCTGGCAATTTAAGTTTGCATACTTTCCGAATTCAGCCGACAAATTATTATGGTTAATAAATTTTACCCAAAATAAAAATAAAAATTTGCGTGAACTTGTGTACGTTACATGATTTATCTTTCCAATTTTGAGAGGAGGCGCGCTCGTCGTAGACACCAAATTCAACCGACAAATTTAAGTTTGTATACTTTCCGAATTCAGCTAGCAAATTATTATGGTTAATAAATTTTACAAAAAAAAAATGGGTGAACTCAGTGTAAATCGTGTACAACGTACACGAGTTTACTAATTCACCCTATTTCAGATTTTTATTATTTTATTTACATTTTTCTAAATTTTATTTTATAATTTACATTAAATTTGTAATTTCTTTTTTAATTTATATTATTTGAAAAATTTGTCCTCTATCCGATCTCTTCTGGTAAAAATTGTAGATTTAATTAACTATAATTTTCTTTTTAGAAAGTTTTAATATATTTTTATTGTTATATTTTGAAACGTAAATCTTTCAACAAATTTAGCCGAGTAGCTTTCAAAAGCTTATATTTTGTTTTCTTTTTTTTGAAAATTATATTTTAATAATATTTCAAAGATATTTTATAAAATATAGGACCAGACATTTTTTTTAAACCATCAAATTGGACCTTTATTTTTAAAAGTTCATAGACTAAAATAGAACAAACTTAAAAGTTCAAAATTTTCATCATATTTGACTGTGTAATCAAAAGAATTTTAAAAATTGAAAAAATAATTAAAATATTTTGGACGTTCGAGTGGAAAACTTAATTATTTTGATGGGCTCGACCTAACTTTTAAACGTAAAATAAAAATTAAATGAAGGTATTTTTAAAATTATCACGATATTTGACTAGATTTAAAAATATTCAAGACAACTAATAGAGAAAATATTTCAAAATACTCACGAGTAATTAATTAATTTATTTTCTCGATTGCTCATAAGATAAAGCCCACGTGGATTTTCTAAAAAAAAAGGAAAAAAGATAAAGCTCACGTGGCAAACAATGGGAGATAAAACAGTCCCGTTGCCGGAGGAAACCTCCTTTGGAGATCCAGGAATGAACAAAATTCAAGATATTAAATTCATATATTTATATATGATCGATATTTTTATGATATGGAAAAAAATATCAAAATATATATTATTAATATTGAAATATTGTTAATATTATTAAATTTTAATTTATTTGAAAAGAGTGAAATATTTATTTGTTAATTTAAATATTGTATATTTCTTTATTTTTATAATTTTTCAAAAATATCTATCGATGTTGACATTTTATTCATTTTTCATAAAATTTAGGTCTCGATATTTTCATATTTTAAATATTATACAAAATTAGATTCGAATATCCAACATGAACTTTTGCAGGAATAAAATCACATATATATATATATATATATATATATATATATATATATATATATTTTGGAACCCCATATGGAAATGAGAAAGAAAGCTTTAAATTTTTACAAAGTCAATCCAACATTGGGTAGGATGTACGGATTTTAAAAATCAATATATTTTTCTATTAATTAAAAGCTTAATATCTCTAAAAAAATCAACCGTAATTTTTTATTGTATCATAATTATTAATTAAGTATAAAAAAATATATCAATAAAAAATCGATCATATAAATATTATTTATTAATAATAAAAACTTATTACTTAGCTAATTATTTAGAAGACCACTGTTAATTATTTAGAAGATCACTTCTGTGAGTTTCTTATTTTAAACAAAATTTTAGGTACATTTATTAATATTGTTATTTTATCATGTTTGATGGATGATTTCTTTGTTTTCAATCCGACGGTTTATTTATTTATTTTTGTCAAAGCGAGCATAGCTCAGCTATAATTGATATAATTTTTAATCAAAAGGTTGTGAGTTCGATCCTCCATTCCTACACATTATACTAAAAAAAAGATGGTTATTTTTTTTAAATAAGCTACTTGATTGTTTTTTACTTTTTTTTAATACTCTTAAAATCTTGATTAAAATCCAAAACTATTTATCTAATAATAAATGGTTGGAATTAGAGGAGATTTAGATGAAAAGAACGTTGTTGAGTCGTGGAGAGAACTATTGTTTTGAAAGCAATTTCGAGTACACCATTCGATGCTATTTTGTATGCTAGTTTGGTTGCTCCAGAAGTTAATACAACTTTAAACTCAGGCGTGCACCAATCGGAGCCAAATTAAATCATAAAACATGTTCATAAAATTTTTCAAAAGTTTTCCATGTGTGTCTCTTGACCAGAAGCTCTGACTTAGTTTAAAAAGAAAATAAATATAAATATTTTAACTGAATAGTTAATTAAAATATTACAAAACAAAATGAATAAATTAAATAAAACGTCAAACAATTAATTAAGAAATGTCTAAATAATTAATTAAAACATAAATAAAATATTTCTTTTAAAACTTTAAAATATAAGCAATAATAAAAAAATATTACTTATTTTTC